TTGCTTGAACCTGAGAGGCGGAGATCTCAGTCAGCTGAGGTCACACCACTGCACTCCAGCCTGGGCCACAGAGCAAGAGTCTGAGAAAGAAAAGAAAAAAAAGGAAAGGAAAGAAGGAAAGGAGAGGAAAGAGGAGAGAGAGGAAAGGAACTTTGAAAATGAACAAAACCCCCAAGAAGTAAGAGATTATGTAAAGAAACCAAACCTATGACTCACTGGCATTTCTGAAAGATAAGACAAGAAAATAACTTGGAAAACATATTTGAAAATATAGTGCACAAAACTTTTCTCAATCTCAGTAGAAGTCAACAGGCGAATTTAAGAAATTCAGAAAAGTCCTGTGAGATACCATACAAGATCATTCTCAAGACAAATAGTTAACAGGTTCACCAAGGTCAATGCAAAAGAAAAAATCCTAAAGGCAGCTAGAGAGAAGGGTCAGATCATTTACAAAGGGAATCCCAACAGGCTAGGAGAGGACCTCGCAGTAGAAACTTACAAGTGAAAAGAAACTGTGGACCTATTTTCAGCATTATTAAATAAAAGAAAGTCCAAACAATAATTTGATATCCTGCCAAACCAAGCTTCATAAGAAAAGGGGAAATATTCTTTTCAGACAAGCAAAGCTAAGGAAATTCATGAACACTAGACCAGTCTTACGAGAGGTCCTTTCAAAAGTGCTAAATGTGGAAATGAAAAAAGAGTACCTGGCACCACAAACACACAAGTACATGGCCCACAGGCACTATAAAGCAAATGTACAATCAAGTCTACAAAGCAAATATACAATCAAGTCTACAAAGCAACCGGCTAACAACATGATTACAGCATCAAAATCTCACATATCAACATAAACCTTGAAGGTAAATTGTCTAAATATCCCACTTAAAAGACTTAGAATGACAAACTGGATTGAAAAAACAAGGCCCAACCATCTTCTGTCTTCCAGAGACCCATCTCACATGTAAGAACACTCACAGGCTCAAAGTAAAGGGATGGAGAAGGATCTATCACGCAAATGGAAAACAAAAAGAAAGCAGGGGTCACTATTCTTATATCAGATAAAACAGACTTTTCACCAACAATGACCTAAAAGGACAAAGAAGGACATTACACAATAAAAAAGGGAACAATTCAAAAAGAAGACTTAACTATCTTAAATATACACATGGTGCTCCAACATTGGAGCACTCAGATTCACAAAACAAGTTCCTCTAGACCTATGAAGAGACTTAGCCACACAATAATATGGGGGAACTTGAACACCCAAGTGACAGGATTAGAGAGATCATCAAAGCAAAAAAATTAACAAAGAAATTCTGGACTTAAATTCAACACTTGACAAATTGGACTATATAGCAGACATCTATAGAATACTCCAAAACCATAGAATATACATTCTTCACATCTGTACATGGAATATACTCTAAGATCAACTACATGCTCAGCCATACAGCAAGTCTGAAAAAGTTTAAAAACAGCGAAATCATCTCAAGCATACTCTCAGACCATAATACAATAAAAATAGAAATTACTACCAAGAAGATCTATCAAAACTACACAATTACATGGAAATTAAACAACTTGCTCCTAAATGACTTTTGGGTAAACAATGAAATGAATTCAGAAATCAAAAAAAATTCTTCAAAATTAATAAAAACAGAGAAAAAATAAATCAAAATCTTTGGGATGCAGCTAAAGTAGTGCTAAGAGGAAAGTTTATAGTGCTAAATGCCTACATGAAATAAGTTAGGAACACCTTAAACGAACAATCTGATGTCACACCTAGAGAAACAAGAACAAAAGGATGGATCAATCCCAAACTAGCAGAAGAAAACAAATAATCAAAATCAGAGCAGAACTGAATGAAATTGAGATGCAAAAATCCATACAAAAGATCAACAAATTTTTTTTTTTTTTTTTTTTTTTTAAGACAGAGTCTCATTTTGTCGCCCAGGCTGGAAAGTAGTGGCATGATCTCAGTGCACTGCAACCTCTGCCTCTTGAGTTCAAGCAATTCTGTGTCAGCCTCCCAAGCAGCTGGAACTACAGGCGCACGCCACCACATCTGGCTAATTTTTGTATTTTTAGTAGAGAGGGGGTTTCACCATATTGGTCAGGCTGGTCTTGAACTCCTGACCTCAGATGATCCACCTGCCTCAGTCTCCCAAAGTGCTGGGATTACAGGCATGAGCCACTGCACCTGGCCTGTTTTTTGAAAGAATAAACAAAATTGATAGACTGCTAAACAACAAAAAAAGAAAATCTAAGCACAATCGGAAATGACAAAGATGGCATCACAACTAATCCTACAGAAACACAAAAGATCCTCAGAGATTATTATAAATATCTCTACACACAAAAATTAGAAAATCTAGAGGAAATGAGTAAATTCCTGGAAACACACAACCTCCCAAGATTGAATCAGGAAGAAATTGAAAACCTGAACAGACCAATAATGAATTCCAAAAGTGAATCAGTAATAAAAATCCTACCAACCAAAAAAAGGCCCTGGATCACATGAATTCACAGCTAAATTCTACCATATGTACAAAGAACTGATACTAATCCTACTGAAACTATTCCAAAAAATTCAAGGAGGAAGGACTCCTCCCTAACTCATTCTATGAAGCCATTATCATCCTGACACCAAATTCTGGAAGGGACATAATGAAAAAAATGTTCCAGCCAATATCTCTGATGAACATAGATGCAAAAATATTCTCAGCAAAATACTAGCAAAACAAATGCAACAACACATCTAAAAGATAATGCACTATAATAAAGTGGGATTTATTCCTAGAATGCAAGGATGATTTGACATATGCAAATCAACAAATATGATACATCAAATCAGCAGAATGAATAGCAAAAACCGTATAAGAATCTTAATAGATGCAGAAAAAGCATTTGATAAAATTCAACATGATTTCACGATAAAAAAAAACAACTCTCAACAAATGAGGCATAGAGGGAACATATGTAAACACAATAAAGACCATATATGACAAACACACAGCTAACATCATGCTGAATGGAGAAGAGCTTAAAGCCTTTCTTCTAAGAACTGGAAATCAAGACAAGAATGCCCACTTTTACCATTAAATTGTCCCTCTTTGCAGACAACATGACTATACACACACACACACACACACACACACACACACACACACACACACACACACACATAAATATATATATATCTCGCCCAAAAGTATGGCTCTACCAAAACACCCTTAGAACTAATAAACTAATTCAGTAAAGTTGCAAGATACAAAATCGACATGCAAAAAGTCAGTGGTATTTCTAGACACCAATAATGAAGTAGCTGAAAGGAAATAAAGAAGGCGATCTTATTTACAATAGCTATAAAACAACACCTACGATAAATTTAACCAAAAAAGTAAAAGACCTCCATGAGGAAAACCATAAAACACTGCTGAAAGAAAGTGGAGAGGGCCAAAACAAATGGAAATAATCTCATGCTAATGGACTGGAAAATGGAGTACTATGCAGCCATAAAAAAGAGTGACATCCTGCCATTCACAGAAACATGGCTAAGTTAGAGAACATTATATTAAAGAAAACAAGTCAGGCACAGAAAGATAAATACTGCATGTTCCCATTCATATATGAGAGCTAAAAAATCGAGCTCGCCGGGCGTGGTGGCTCACGCCTGTAATCCCAGCACTTTGGGAGGCCGAGGCGGGTGGATCACGAGGTCAAGAGATCGAGACCATCCTGGTCAACACGGTGAAACCCCGTCTCTACTAAAACTGCAAAAAATTAGATGGGCATGGTGGCGTGTGCCTGTAATCCCAGCTACTCAGGAGGCTGAGGCAGG